TTTTTTTATTTATTTTAAGTCTCCATCTTAATTATAAAGTAGAAATCATTTTTTTTTTATTTTTTAAAAGTCATATTTCTTTCTTATTATGTCCATTATAATATATATTTTGGTTATAAACTATATATTTTAGGTTAAAATTACTATATTTTTAATTATTAAATCTAATATAATTTTTTTAAGTTTCTTTTTTAATGAAAAATATTTATTACAGATATAGTTTATATCTTTATATGGAGATTATTATCAAGTCTAATGTTAATAAAAAGTTTATATATATTTTTATAAAATCAATAAAAAAGTATTATTATTTACAATTTTATAATATTCTTTTTTTAATTAATAATGTATTAAAGTTAATTAATTTTTAATACAATTTAAAAATATTATTTTACTTAAAATACTTTATTTATGTTTAGATATTCATTAAAATAATTTTTATTTTGTTTTCATCTATATAATGATAATATTTTTAATTAAAATTCTTAAAAGGATTATATTTTATGTTTTATAAAAATATAAAAAATAGTATATATTATTGTATATAACTTAAGTATAATTGATATATTAAATTAAAATGCAAAAAATTGAGGATTTTGTGATATACTTTTAAAAAATCATAAAAATATATTCTATCTAATGAATAATAAAATTTGAAAAAATATAAATATAAATATATAAATATATATATATATATATATTTATGAATATTTATGAATATTTATGAATATTTATATTATAAATATTAAATATATTTTTAATTTTAATTTATATTTATATACTTTTCAATTTTTTTTATATTTATATTCATATATGATTTTTTTTATTATATATAATAAATAAATTTTAAATTTTTTTATATAATTATATTATATTTTATTATATTTTTTTTTAATATTTAAGAAAAATATAATTTATCTTTATATAAGATTAATATTTTAAATTTTTATATTATTTTAATTTTTTAATTTATTTAATCATAATTCTCATATTATGCATTAAAATGATATTTTAAAAATAAAAAATATATTTAAACATGTTAATTTTTATCGAAATTATAAAATATTATTGATAATAAATCAAATTTTTAAAATCAGATTCTTTATATTAAAAATAAAAATTTTTAAAAAATAATAAATTTAAGTTGAATAATGGTTATTAATTAAAAATATATAGTAAACTTATTTTATTTAAAAAAGTAAATAAATATTTTTACTAAAATATAAAATAAAATAAAAACATAATTGATAAAATATTATAAATAATTTTATATAAATATATATATATAAATAAATGAGAACTTTAATTTAAAATATATATATAATTTTTATAATAATATGTTATATTTTTTTTTAAAAAAAATAATAAATAATTTTAATATAAATATTAAATAAAACTAAAAAATATATAACTTTAAATATATATTTAATATTAAAAAAAATGCTCTAAACATAACAATAAAATAAGGATTTTGAAAGAACAAACTATTCGCATAAATAATAAATGGTAAAATGTGGAGTTTCATCATTAAAATGTATGGATGGCGAAGATTTAAGTAATATTATTAATATATATATATATATATATATATATTTATTTACATAAAAGCATATGGAAATCGAAAAAAATTATAGTAATTATAATAAAAAGATTGGATAGATTAATAAATAAAAGAAAAATAATTATTAAAACAATAAGAATTAGATGAAAAGCAGTATTTTTATAAACTTTTAAAAATAAAAATATATAAATGAAGTGCTTTTGAAAAATAAACAGAAGAAATAACAAAAATGAGAACACATTTAGAAAAAACATTATTAGACAAGCATAGAAGATGGGAAATTAACTGTAAAGAATTTAATCCTTAATAAGTAATAAATATATATATATATATATATATATATATATATATATATTTATTCATTTATATAAATAATTATATTTTTTATATTTAATCAAAGATGAAAGAAAAATTTGATAATGAAAGGGCTAAAAATGATATTGAATAAGAACAAAGCAAACATCATATAAATTATTGTATGACAAATTAATTCTAAACAGAAAGTTCTTAAACTTGTTAAAGTAGTTTAGCTAAACATAGAGTTATTCCTTATCATTGGAAAGGAATGAATGACTATTAAAGAAGAGAAGTCATTCTACAATAAGATTAATAAAGAAAAGAAAACGAAGTTATTTTAAACAATAATATATATACAAATAATTAAATGTATTTTTTTTTTTTTTTTAGATGTTAAAAAAAATAGAATTAGATTATGAAAAAGCTTATGCCCTTTAAACTGAAGTAATATTTTTAATAAAATAAACAATTTAATAAATAAATTATTTAGCATAACAGATTTATGTTAATAAATCTTGAAAGACATAAAAACAGATAACATAAGCAAAATATGAATGATATTAAAGAATGGAACCTTTAAAAAGCTAAAGAACAGAAAATAAAACTTAAACATATGTATGATTGAAGAAAATAATAAAAAATTATTATATTATATTATATTTGTTTTTTATTTATTTATTTTTTTTTTAAAAAAAAAAAATAAAAAAAAAAATTATATCACAAAATCATTTTTTTTTTATTCTATATAAAAAAATAAATTTAATTTCTATTTTTTTATTTACAATAAATAAAAAATAATTAATTTATAAACAAATAAATATTATTAATAAAAAAAAAAAAACTTAAAATGGTTTCCAAATTAGAAGTATATACTTTAGAATATTGCATTAAGACTTAATTTTAAATTCCTTTTTGTTTTAGGTATATCATTATATAATATAAATATTAATATAGCATAAAATAAATAATAAAAAATAGTCAATTAATATATTTATTCTTATAATGTATTTTATTTTATTATCTGCTAAAATATTTAATAGAAAGATTAAAATTTAAAAGAAAAATTTTTTACAAAAAAAACATTATATTTTTAACAATCATAATGGCCCTATTATTTCAGTAAATTAAATTATCATTTAATAATAATGAAGCATATTATTTAAAAGTATACTTCATGAGTATGTAATTTTCCTTTATAATGTACCATTTTGCATCTAAAGCTTGTAAATAGTACAGTCCTTAATACAGTCTTAAAATTTTATATTTCTTCTTATTGATTTTAACACTTTACTTTACAATTGTATTATTTTTCAATCTAGAATAATTTAAATATATCTAGATTTGCAAATCAAATACATGGATAATATTAAGGGCCATAGAACTAGGACTATGTTTAATCTTTAATTTATTGGGAATTTTTATAACAAAAATTATAATTTAATAAATTAAAATGTTAATATAGCCTAATATATATTCATAGAAATATTTAAAAAATGAACCAATACCAAGCCCTTTATAAGAAAATTAAAATTAATATAATGATAGGATTAAAAGGTTAAAAAATTATGGCTTATTATATTTGTTAATACTTTATCTTAAATAATTTAAAACTTTAAAAATTTTTTATTATAAATAATAAAAGGGATGATTGCAAATTTATTAATTAAGTATTAAATTTAAATATATATAGAAAATGTATATATAATTAAATATATATATTATTTTATATTTATTAATATTAAAAGTAAACTGCTGAATTTTTTATTGAATTTCTTATAAAAATATTTACTTTTTATACACCAATTATTATTTTAGTTGTAAATTTTAGATTAAATAATTAAAAATTTGTAATTTATTTTTTTTAAAAAATTCTATAAAAAGTTTTTTTATTAAAGTTTTATAAATAAGAATATATTGAAGAAAGAAATTCTATATAATTTTATAATATTAAAATAGATAAAAAAAAACAGAGTATATTAAGAAATAGTAAAATATGAATATTAAATCATAAAAACATTTAAATATATATATATTTTAAATAAATATATATATATATATATATAATTTAATATATTCGTATATATATATTTATATTATTTATATTATGATATTTATTTTTATTTACAAAAAAATAAAATTAATTTTTTTTTCTTATTTTAATAATATTTAATAATAAAATATTATAATATAATCATTAAATATATTTTATATTTTTTTCTTTATCTTTTATTTTTATATCTATATTATTAATATAGACCATAAAAGTGAATAATAATCCTAAAACTTCATATATAAACAAAAGTATTCCATGTAGTCTATTTAAAGAATTATATAATCCACATTTATGTCTTTAAATGTAAAAAGCTATATATAAATTATAAAATCCTAAAACTAGTTAAAATACACATAAGAAATTATCTATACTACGTAATTGTTTATCAAATTTCGTTTCGAATAAAATTAATAAAATTTTTATCATAAATATAAACATATAAATGTGTTTAATTATTTCTGTTAAAAATTTTATATTTATGCACAATTCTTTATCTATTTCTTAAATACTTATATTACATATATAATAATAAATCAAAAACCATATCAAACATAACCAAATATTTGAAAACCCTATTAAGTTTTTTAATATTTTACTTGGAATTAATAATTATCTTTATTTTATCATTTTTTTTATTAATTTATTGTATAATAATTGTATTGTCTTAATTTTTATTTTTTTAGAAAAAAAAAAAGATTTAGATTTTTTTATTTTTTTTAAAAAAAAAAAAAAATACAATTGTAATTTTTTATTTTTTCTCATTAATAATAATTATCGTTTTTACTTTATTATTATAAAAAATATCAATTTCATTAAATATTTATTTACATATTTTAAATTTAATAATAATAAATAATTATTATCAGTTTTTTTTAATATTTTTATAAACCATCTTTAAATTTTTTCAAATAAAAAAAAATATATCCCTTAATAAATTCAAGTAAACTAAAATATATTCTCTATTAAAAAGATTTATATTTAATATTATTATATTTACTTAAATTAAATTGTAAAATTTTAAAGTTTAGTAACATTATTATATATTATTAATATAATCGTGTTTTTATATTTTTTGGAATTCTTATATTTTGCATTATTATTTCTTGAATAATCTTATCTTAATTATAAAAATTAAAAATTTTATTAAAACAAAAAATAAATATATAGAACAAATCGATATTATGATAAATTATACAAAGCCATTTATTTATTTAATTTCTAATTATTTTAATATCTTATAAAATAATATATATATCTATTGAGATAAAAAAAAAAAAATTAAATATATATATATATATATATATATATATATATATATAATATATATATAATATTATAAATATTTTTTCTTTTATTTCATATATTATTTATTTTATTTTATATAATTTTATTTTTATAATATTTTTTTTTAAATATTCTATTTAAACTTTTAATTTTTTTATTAAATAACATTTTTTTTTTATTAATACGGTTTTATTTTTATTATTATTTTTAAATAATATTAAATACATCATTTTTTTAAAAAAATAATTAATACATATTTATATATATATTTTGTTTTCATTCTTATATATATTTTTTTTATTTTAATTTATATATTTTTTTTTAAATAAAATTTTTTTTTTTCTAAATTTTTTTTTTTTTAAAAGAAAAAAAATATCCATTTAATACAAAACATATTTATTACTAAAAATTAAATTAATAGAAATATAAAAAATAATAAAAATGGAAAATGAATATGCATTTGCAAAATTATAAAGTTTAAATAAGGAAGAATTTTTTATACGCCATGTAATAAAAAAAATTCCTTTAAAATAATTAAGTTAATTATAATGTTATTTTGTCTATTTAAAAATATATAAATTTTAGATACCAATTATATTTCGCAGAAAACAAATAAAAGAATTACTAAAAAATTCAATATAACCAAAAGAATATCCACCATAATTAGGAATAAGTAAATGTCATAATATGTAATTATAATATATATAAATATAAACTCATATATTAAATATTCAATATATAGTTCATTAAATCATTTCCTTTTATTCTATTCTTTAAATAAAAATAATTTGCAATAATAGCATTTGATAATCTTACAATAAATAACATTTAACCAGAATTAATTTAAGATGTTTAGGGATTTTTAAACACAATTAAAATCTCAAAAATCATTATAATTTTTCGATAATTATTGTAAAAATAAAAAAAAATATTAAGACATAAAATTAAAATATATATAAATATTTTAAAAATATAAAAATAAAAGAAAAATATATCTAATATCTAAAAAACTATTCTCAAATATATATTCCATGTGATAAATGTGAAATTCCACATTTATATATATTCGTACTACCCTCAAACGAAGTTTAAAAAAACGAATCATTAAACTTAAAAGCATCTTCAGTATTATCTCATACATTAAATTAATGTAATAAATATATATATATATATATATATATATATATATATTATATATATTATATATTATATATATATACATATATATATATATTTAATATAGAAAATCCTTCTAATAAATAACATGATAAATCCCTTTATTAAAAATGGACAACTGATGATAAAGAATAATTAAAAAAATGCATTATAAACTATGGATATTGTCGTTGGAAATAAATCTAAAAATCTTCCTCTGCAATTGGCGGTAAACTTGCTGAAAGACCAAAATCTGAAATTCGAGCATTTTCGAATGCTTTTGTTCGTGCTTTGGCTGAATAATTAACTGCTTAAAATGCTGATTTAAAGCAATTTTTATATAATATGATAGATGAATATCCCGATGACCCATACATTACCCCTTAAGCTAAAGACTGGGATTCACAAACTTTAAACTAGAGAGCTATTCCTTTTACAAAAAGACTACAATTACTATACAGGATAAGAATTTTAATAAAAAAATATAAAGATGATTAATTAAAGAATATACCAGATCGGGACAAAGAAAAAATAAACTGGGAAGGTCTTTTAAATTTTTTACCTAATTCGCTTTTATATGGACAAAGACCTTCTGTTTGGTGGACAAAAAAACACGACACTGATTTACTCAGGGGAGTTTATAAATACGGGTATGCGAATTATTCCACTATAAGGAATGCTAAAGATTATTGTTTTTCTGAACTAGAAAAAATAGAAAATGCTTATTAAAATTTCCCTACATCAGATGCTCTGACTAGGAGATTAAAAAAATTAATTTAGACTATATTAAAAAATGAGGAGGATAAAGGAAAAATAGACTTCGATATGTCGGCTAATAGTGAAGATGAGGAAAAAGGATGGCTTTTGGAAGAAAAAGAGATTCTTTTTGAGTATTTAATGGATTTTGGTGTACCTTTAAATAATGATGGGAGGTCTAATTGGGTAGAAATTCGTGAAAAGATGAAAGTAGCATATTAAGAGTATTAATAAAAGAAAAATATATAAGAAGAAAATTAATAATAAGAAGATGTTAAAATAAAGGAGTTTGATAAAAGTATTTCTTAAATAGAAAAAATGGTTTAGAGAATTAGAGTAAAATGTCAAGAATTAATTGTGTAATCTTAATAAGAAAAAAATGAAAATAATGAAGATTTTCAAGAAGAAGATAAAGATATGGATGGATTTTGTATAAATTTAGATAAAGCAAGGAAGTTTAATTAGAAAACTAATATTTTATATTTTATAAGAAAAACCATTTTAGGAAACAATTAAGCTTTATTTAATAATAATACAGATGAATTAATTAAAAAAAATAGCCTTTTATAACCAAATGATTTATCAAATATTGATAATCCAAATTATTAACCAAAAATACATGATTTGTAATATATATATATATATATTAATATATTAATATATATATATATTATATATATATATATATATATATATATATATCTTTTTATATATCTATAAATATATATTTTTAGAAATTTAATGTTTCTAGTTTCTAATAATGGTTTTAAAGCTTTAAATGATTTAAAATCTTATCCAAATTATGAATTATATAATTTTGATTTGACTGAAAAGTAGCTTTTTTCTAGATTAGAATGGTTATGTGATTAATTTAAGGAATTAAAGGACAAAATGTGTAATAAAAAGCGAAAATCAGACAAAAAGATCTCCGAAGATTCTCGCAAAAAGCCCAAATTCGAAATAAATAGAGATGAATTCGGCAAGATTATTTTCCCAATCCAAATTAATTCGAGTTTACAATTATTAGCCACAGGTGAAATAAATATTCTCCCCGCTTATCATTCTGAACATAATCTATTCCCTGTAGGATTCAAAAGTATCAGAACCCACCCTTCTATATATAAAAAAGGTGTCAGATGTGAATATACTAATGAAATTTTAGAAGGTCCCGAAGGTAAACCAATATATAGAGTTACTTCAGAAGAAGATCCTGATAATCCAATTGTTAGGGAAAGCTCGACTGGATGTTGGGTGTATATTTGTTAAAGAGTTAATGAATTATAGGATATTAAAAAGGAGAAAGTCACTATATCAGGGACTGAGAGATTTGGTTTATTGGAAACTAATGTTGTAAGACTTTTAGAAGATCTATCTAATGCAGAAAAATGTACGAAATATAAGTTTAAGTTTAATAATTTTAATTAAAGTAATTAAGAAATTGATGGATGATAATGAAAGTGTTTTTATTAAAAATATTAGCAAAAAGTTAATATTAAAATATATATTTTATATTTTTAAATTTAATAAATATATAAAATATAAAAATACATGGAATAATAATTAAATATATTAATAAAATAAAAAACTCAAACTCTAGAAAAATACCGATGGGTTGTTTTAGGATTATATCTTTTATCGGATTTAATTCCCTCAATGATAGCCACAACAATAACTCCCTATTCATCTTAATTATCAAATTTATATAATATATCAAATATAGAAATAACATTATCTACATTAATATTTTTCATAGCCTTACCCATGTCTACGATTCCAGCAAGTAAATTAATAGACGAAAAAGGTTTAAGGATAAGTATAATAATAGGTATAGTTTTTTGCATAATAGGAGCATGGATAAGAATTTTAATATCAAAAAGTTATTACTTTGTATTTTTAGGAAATTACTTAAATGGAATCGGTTCTCCTTTTATTTTAAATGGAAAAACTAAATTAGCATCGACATGGTTTTTACACGAATAAGTAAAATAAATTATATATATATATATATATATATATATATATATATATATATAAATTTATATATATATATATATAAATATTAGGGCCCTGGTATAACTACTTTTATCACAGTATTTAGTAATTTAAATACTATTATAAGTTATGTTTTTGCAGGAAATATATTTGGAGGTTGGCAACATCTCAGTTTAAAATCTATAAAATCTTATTTTAATTGAGGCCATTTTAGTTTTAATTTTTGCATTTTTTATTTTTATTTTTTTTAAAAATACTCCTTAATAACCCGCAAATATAACATCTTCATATTATAAAATACCGTAAAGATATATAGAAAATCTTCAACATTTAATAAAAAACAAAAATTATCTTCTAATATCTGGTTAATAGGCATTAATAGTTGGCTCTATATGTGGTTTAGCAACTTCAGTAGGTTATTATATATCCCCATTTGGCTTTGACGGCCAACACTCCACAATAATACTATGTGCATTACCTATAGGAGGTATTTTCGGTTCCATAATAGGCGGATACTTATCAAACAAATATAAAAAATATAAGCTATAAATGTCTATATATATCATATTAGGTGCTATATCCCTTCTATTTTTCCATTTATCACTCTATTCCTCAAATATATACTTTGTTTTTATCTGTAATATACTAATAGGAATGTATTTTATACCCATGGTACCTCTATTACTTGAATTTGGGTGCGAAGTAGCCTTTCCAATTGGTGAAGGATGCTGTGTGGGTATTTTAGGAATCATAAATACATCATCAACGTTATTTTTTGGAGGAATATTTAGTTTAATAATGAGTCATAATAAATAGTAAGAAAGCTTAATTGTTGTTATTGTTCTTTTTGTGTGTTTTTTAATAGGATTTTTAATGATTTTTGTTACTAAAGAGGATTTACAAAGACATAAAATGGAGATTTATTTAAATGCTAAAGAAAGCTTTTGTGATAATTAAACTAAAATAAGTAGAATAAGTTTTATATAAGATAGTTTATGATTAATAATTTATAATTATATATATATGTATATATATATATGTATGTATGTATTTATCATATAGTATTTTATATATTTTTTAATATATTCATATATAGAATTTTCTAATTGTCTACATTTTAAGTTTTTTCATAGAATCTAAAATATTCTTAATATGTTTTAAATTAATTTATTATAGAATATCCATCATTTATATGAAAAACTTCGTATAAATAAACAAAAAGTATAATTAAGCCTTTTTAGAAAGTTTAATTATTTTCAAATAAAAACACAAAAAATACAAAAATTTCTTTTAATTTTCCCTAAATTTCTAGTAGGAATTCACTCTATTTTAGTTTATTTATTTTTTCTAAAAAATCCTTTTTTTCCTTATCTTTTTATATAAATTCGCTTAAAAATTACTTCAAAAAAAACTCATCTTAATTAAATAAAAATAATAAATTTTCATAATTTCTTGTCTAAATAAAATTCTTCCATTAATAATCCTTATATTATACTTTTTGCTCCTCCCAAAAATCTCTCCCTTGAAATTTTATTAATTATTCATTATATATAAGACCCATTTTTAACACCAAAATCACCAATTCTTCACTTTTCTATATAAAATCTACTTCTTAAGGTAATAATCTACCCATTTAAACCAATCTTAGTGCAATTTCATCCAAAAAAAGTACTTTTTCCCTAAAACAAAGTAATAAATCTTCAATTTAATTCAAAAAAATACCTTCTCTTTGCCTCCTATTGGCCTCATTTATGATATTAATGACATTTTTTTCTGATAAATCGATCATTTTAATCCTTGAATATTTCACAATTTACATTCTATTTAAAAAGACGATACTTTTTTCCAATTTAGACTCTTATAGAAGGTTATTTTTTTCCTAAAAACTATCCACAAAACTAAAAATTTCCTCCCAAGAAATTCTCTAAAAAATTTCTTTTTTTAACATTTTTTCACACAAAGAAACCAACATTTATTTTTTTTCTGAAAAAATGTCTTTTTTCTCAATAATCAATTCCCTTTATAAAATATCATTAAAAGCCCTATTTATATTATACCCCTAAAAATCATTATTATTAATATCTAAAAAAGGGTATTTCCCCTAAAAAAGCATTCTATATAAAATTACACCTAAAGACCAAACATCGACTTTCGAATTCGCCTTTTTATTTTAAATAAGTTCAGGTGCAAGATATAAAGGAGTCCCTTTTAAAGACATATTTTCAAAAAAAAGAGGATTTTCGATTATTTTAGCTAGTCCAAAGTCAGCTATTTTATATGTTTTGTTATTTAAGAGTATATTATCTGGTTTAATATCTCTATGTATGATATTATTGTCATATAGGATTTTATATCCTTTACAAAATTACTATAAGAAGTCCATTATTTCTATTTCTGATATATAAAAGCTATTTTTTTCCAAAAACTAAGTTAAATTACCATTATTACAATAATCAATAATAAAATACTGTTGTTTTTTAGATCGAATTTTAAGTTTTTTGTAATTAACTAAATTTTAATGAAAAGGGAGTTTTTATAAAATCTCAGTTTCGGATTAAATTGAGTCTAGTTTTTCCTAAGATTCTAAATGAATTATTTTAGCCACTATATCTTCTTATGGATCTTCTAAATTATAGGCACGTATTACTTTGGCAAATGAACCTTATCCGAGAAGATCGGAAGCTTCTAATGATATTATATAGGGTGATCCTATTAATTATTTGACCTTTATTTTACGGATTTTTTTTTTTTCAGGTATTTATTATAATAGTTATTATTAAATTGGCTATATTTATTATTATGTTTGCTGCATTGTTTATATATTTCTATTTTTTTTTTATCTTTTTATATATGAAAAGGGTTTATATGATTTTTGGGTAAAATAAAATTATATATTTTTATGGAAATTCAGTAAAATTTTAAATTAGATTTGTTCATTAATATTAATTGTAATATATATATATATAAAAAAATATATAAATATAATATTTATATATATATATTATTTAAATTATTAATGTATATATATAAACTAGATATTTTTTTTTAGAAATATCTCGAAATTTCTTAAAATAAAAAATATTTATTTAATTATTATTAAAAATAATATTCATTTATAATATAAATAAATTTTTTGAAATATATAATTATAATTTAATATAAGTAGTATCAATTATAATTACATAAAAATAATATTTTTAAATTAAAAAAATAAATTAGATATATATAAATATATATATATATATATATGTATATATATATATAAATATTTTACAATATACTTTAATAATGATATTAATAAAAAATATAATTTTTAAAATATATAAAAAATACACTATATTATATTATTTACTTTTATTTATTATCATACACTTATATTTAATACATTTTTTTATTAATTTTAAATAATTAACTTTCATTATATCAAAGAAAAAATTATTTAAACGCACAAACAAACAAACAAAAATACATTTTAACTTTTTATTATTTTTATCTAAAAATAAAAAAAACTAAAAAATAAAGGAGAACGATCTACTAAAATAAAATGTAAAAATAATAAAGAAAAATATAATAAAAGAATTTTCTAAAAACTAATAAAAAATAAAAATAAAATAAAAATATTCTTTTTATTTAATAATAATAAAATATAAATAATGTAAAAAGCCCTCTATATATTAATAACAATATTATTTCTTTTTATAAACTGTTCCTAATATATTTCAATTCCAAAAAAACCTGACGGTGTGACAATTGGAAATAAAAATTCTCAAATAAAACTCGAAGCTTATTATGATTTACAATGTCCAGATTCCAAACATTCTAATGAGCAATTAAATATTTTATTTAAAGAAAAAACCTATTTATAAAATTTAGCTTTTACTTATCATTATTTTCCACTTCCTTATCATTTTAATTCTTACCAGTAAATAATTCTATATTTATATATAAAAATTATTCAAAAAAAAAAAAAAAAAGCCTTTCTTAAACATTAAGATTTGTATATGATAAATATGGAACATAAGCTGCTGTAGAATTTACTAATAAAGTATTCGAAAATCAATAAAATTATGACAATAATAAAACTAAAACCTTAAATTTGAATGAAATCTATTAAAAAATAGCTGATGATACTTAATCTTTTTTAAAAGAATATAGTATTAAATCTTCTGATGTTATTGATGCTTTAAATGATTAAAATTACAATCAAGAAACAAGATAAAGTTGGAAAATTGGTTGCGGTAATGGGGTTTCCGGAACACCTATTTTTTATTTGAATGGAGTTAGAATAGATGGAGCTGAAACTTTTGATGTATAAAATTGGAAAAAATTTTTAGAAGAATATTTATAATAGAAAGAAAAACATAATAATTTTAGACATGATAAATATTGAAAAAAAATATATATATATTTATAATATATATAAAAAATTATTAATATTATAAAATATTAATTAATTTTTGGTTTTAAGTATAGTATAAATATATAAAATAAATTATAATTAATAAGTTTTAAAATAGAAAATAAAAGAAATTAAAAAATAAATATTATAATTTATTCATAATAAAATAAAATTATTTCAAATTAATTAAAAAAATATAATATATATAATTAAATATATATATATATATATAAATTTAAATATATATATTTACATATACATAAAATATATTAATTAATTATAATGTATATATATAAAATATTTAATATATATTTTTTTAATATTAATTTTTATTATAATAATTTTTTTTATTTTTTTTAATTTTTCTTTATATATGTACTATATTTTTATTTTTTATAATATTTAATAATTTATATAATTTTGTTTTTTCTTACACAATATTTTTTTTAATTTTTTTTTTATATTTTTATTATCTTATTTTATTATATATTTTTTTTGTTTAATATATTTATATTTATTACAATTTTTTTATATTCAAGTTTTATTTATATAAATTTATTAATTTTTATATTTTTTTTATTATAAATGCTTAAAGTTTTATTAAATTTTATTCTAATTATACAATTTATATTATATAACCTGATTATTAAATATAATAAAAATTTAATATAAATGTCTTTTCTTTTTATTATATATTTTTTTTTTATAAATATATTTAGTTTTATATTATTTAATAAAATAAATTTATAATAATTTAATCATTAATTTTTTTATATTTTTATTTTCTTATTTTAATAAATATTTAATTTATTTTAGAACTATTATTATTAAAGATTCCTCTAATTTCAATTTGATTATATTTATATTATTATAAAATATAACCATTTTTTAATATTTTTATATTCTTTTAATAATTAATTATATTTCAACGAATATATTTTTAAATAGAATCTATCTACTTTAAATGACAAAAACCTTTTTTTTATATAATTTATATCATAGTCTGAATATTTTAATCTTTAATATTTTCAATAATTTTTTCATTTAATTATTTATATTAATAAACTAACTACCTTATAATAAAAATATTATATAATATTAAATGAAATTATATTTTATATAATTAAACTATTAAATTTATAATTTCATTAAAAGATAAAATTACTAATAAAATAATTATAAATATTATATTTTTTATCAATATAATAAAAAATATTATTTATTTAAAATATAAAAAGAAAAGATTAAAAAAAACTATGTAAAATATTCTCATATAAACACCCCAAAAAAGCTTTGATTATCAAATAAATATAAATGAATGTATTTTTTTTTGCGGAGACCAATAATAATCTTTCTAAAAGCTAATTTATGGTTTCGACACGATAATTTCTGTTGCAAAATAAATGTTAAAAATTAGCCAAATTTTAAAAATCCCAGTATTAGCAACTGAATAAAACCCCAAAAAACTTGGCCATTTAGTCCCTGATCTATAACGAGAATTAAACTCCATGAAAACACGTATATTTCCCAAATAAACATTTTCCATGATAAATAAAGAAACACTTGAATATATTAAAATAAATTATCCAGATAGAAAAAAGGCAATACTTTTTGGAACAGAAACTCATGTTTGTATACTTTAAACGGCTTTAGATCTTATAAATTAAGATTTTTAAGTTTATGTGTTAGCCGATGGAGTCAGTAGCATGAGAAGGTTAGATAGAACTGTTGGTTTTTTAAGATTGTAATAAGCTGGGGCCATTATTACAACAGGAGAAAGTATGATTTTTTAATTATTAAAAAGTGCCTAACATGAAAAATTTAAGGAAATTCTGGCTATTATAAAAATGGATAGGGTTAATACTCTATCTAAATTATGAGTTTTAAAATAATAGAATATTTTTAAATCTATATTTTTACTTTATATTTTTTTTATTAATTTATTATATATTATTATGGTAAAGATATAATATAAAAATTATTAAACAAAAATTTAAAAAAAAAAAAAATATTAACAAATAATAATTTTTTGTTTTAAATATTAAATTTTTCCAAAATTTTATATAAATTGTTAAAATATATTTTTAACAAGAATTTTTTTTTAAAAATTTTATCTTAAAATAAAAAAAAAAAATAGAGACTATAAAAATGGCCACATAAATAAAATTATGATACTTTACAAATTAAAATCAAATTAAATTCATTAAGTTATTAAAAAAAAGTAATCACTTGTTCTAAAAATATTGAAGATAAATAAATATTAAAAAAATAATATATATAAATATAAAAATATATAAATATATATATATATATATATTACATAATTAATTATATTTTTAATATCTTTAAAAAATAATATATTATATTATAATATTTTTATTTTTATATAAAGGTATATAAATACTTTAATTTACTTTATTCTTTATAATTTTAATTTAAGAAAAATATATATATTTTATTTTATTTGTCTTAATATTATTATTTTTTGTTAAAATAAAAAAAAAAGTTAATAAAACGAACAATATGTAAAATAATTAAACTATAAATGGATAAATAATTTAAATTTCATAAATATTTAATTTTATGAAGCAATCAAATTTTACAATAATAGAATCAAACTAAAATTTAATCGACTAAAAATATTAATATTTCCGATTATTTACAACTAAATAACTAGGGAACATATTTTTAGCAATTCTAGAATAATCATTAATATTAAAATACGATTTCAATATAAAATTCATTAAATATTTAAATGAAAAATTAGAAGATTGTTTTACATATTTTAATTTATAAAAATAGTAACTTTACAAATACAATAAAAATACTATATATAATAATTATTAAAATTATCTCAGGCAAATTTTATAAATGAATAATTTCGAAGAATAACAAAAAATTTTAAACGAAAATTTTTATACTAAAGAATATTTAAATATTAGTGAAATGTTAATAAGGTATTCTATTATAAAAAAATATAATAATGACCGCTCATTAGTATTTTTTTTGATTAATTAAAAAATTTCAAATGAAATCAATTTAGATATTTCATAATTTATATTGGAGAAAATATAAGATATTTATTAAGTTAAAATATATAAAGTTTAATATAAAATTAATGAAAAGGTTCTTATAAATTATCAATATACCAAATAAAATTATTAATTAAATTTATTCTTATATGATTTCTTAAGTAAAAATTAACTTTATATACCTTTTATAAAACCAAATCAAATGGAGAAAACAAAATAATTAATTTAAAATTAAAATCTTGATCTTTATAAATATAAAAAATAATAAGATGAATAAATATAAAACGAAAAAATATTCAAATAAATGAGTAATTTATCGAATTCATCGAATATATTTAAAAAAGATAAAATAATAAATAATTTTATACAAGACAAAGAAGAAGAAAATAAAAAAGATATTTAAAAAAATAATAAGTAAAATGAATATATTAGTTCATAAAATTAATAACAACAAAACGAAAATATACTAAGAAATATTAAAATAAAGGAATAATAACATATAAATATTTTAAATAAAAAATCTTCGATAGAAAAAAATATATCTGATGAATAATAATAATAATAATATTAATAATAATAATAATAATAATAATAATAATAATAATAATAATAATCAAATGTATTATAATAGTGTAAATTTTGTTACAGATATAAATTTTAAGAAGAATTATTAAAAGGTAAAAATTGCGAGCATTAATGTTGTATGTAATGCATTTAAAATAACTAAATACAAATAATTGATAATTTTAAAATTAACTGTAATTTTTCATTATATTGCTAATAATAAAGCAAAGAATTTTTAAATAGTTCAAAATAAAAAAACTGTGATATATGCTAATAATTTTCAAACAAAATTTATATAAATAAATTTTGTGACCATTTATATTGTCATTAATGCATTTATTAAAAATCTTATGACAAATAAAATGTTTGTGGTATATTAAACTGCAAAAAGCCTTTAGATTTAAACATATAAGATAAACTTGAACAAGTTTTAAATAAAATAGAAAATAAATGTTCTATATGTGAAAAAGCATAACCTAATTTATTCAATCAATAATCTTGTGTACATGCTTATTGTATTCAATGTATAAATAAAAATTATTTAAAGGAAAAAGCATTCTGTTTATTTGGATTTTGTTCACAAAAGTTAGACAAACTAGAATTAGAATAATACATTTAAATAAATAATAATAAAAATTAAGTATAAAATATCAGCAATTAATTATCTAGTTCTTTAATAATATAGAATTAATAATAAGTATAAAAATAATAAATTTAATAATTATCATAATCATAAATTGACGGTCCTATAAATATTAATAAATGTGATTAATGTAAAAAGCAATTCTAAAAATCTTCTTAATTATTCTTTAATAAAAACTGCCTACATTAATATTGCGGAATATGTGTAATGAACTAATAATATATAGAAAATGATTAATATAATTAACTTTGCTTTATTATTGGATGTGGGAACAAAAAATCATTAGATTTTGAGGCTTTATAAAAATTCTTTTACGAATTTTAATGTGAAAATATTTAAGAAAATTAAAATAATTCTTTTATTTAAAAAGACTTTATTGTCAATTGTTCTTAATGTTCTTTTTAAGACACTATTTATTCTATAAATAAACCAGATTATTTTAAATGCTCAAAATGTTAAATAAGTATATATATATATATATATATATATATATATATATATATTTATATATATATATATTTATTTTTTTATAATAAAAAGTAACATGTATAAATCATAAAAAAAATAATGATATATGTTAATGCTTTTGTAATTAATGTATAAGTAAATTTATAATTGAAAAAAATAAACTTTTTTGCTATAAATGTAAATACTGTATATGTTTAAAATGTCAAAAATAATAAGAATTAAATAAAAGTTGTTAATGTTAATGTTAAATATGTAATAAACCAGAAAAATAAATATGTACTTGTGCTTAATATACATGTGGTACTTGCTTAGATCTGTTTTAAAATCCTGATCTAAATTATTAAGGAGAAAAAATACTTAACAAGAGTTAATATTGTATACATTAAATATGTAATATATGTGTTAGAAAACAAATTATATTGTAAAAATAAGTTTTTTGTTTATTATGTAATTGATATAAAAATCAGGGGATATATATATATATATATATATATATGAAGAATAATTTTTAATTATTAAAATTTTTATGATCTTGAAAATTTAAATATATATATATATTTATATATAACTTAATAAATAAATAATAAATACAAAAAACTTCTTTTACTTTATATTAATTTATTAGTTTTTTTTTTTTTTTTAATTTTAAAAAAAAAAAAAAAAATGATCGAAAAAATTAAGTAACTTTTATTTTTGAAAAAAAGCAATATCAAACATTAATAATTTAACTTTTTTAATCTTTTAATTTTAAATCATCAGATTTAAATTTAATTAATTCGGTTAATTTATAATTTTATTAATTAAAAACTCTGACATCATCAACTTTAGAAGCTTCAATTAAATAACCAATAAGATGTTTTAATTCTACATCATTTTTATCTGAATGCCATTCTAAAATAGGAATACCATTATCAATTTATAGTCCAAAGGAATGTGCTAAATTATCTACAATAATAGCTTTTTTAATATTAATACCTTTAACTATCCTCAAATCTTTAACAAAAAATCCATTTTTAGTTTCCATACAATTTTTTCTTGTTAAAACTTAATTTATATATTATCTATGTGGATCTAAATAATTAACAATAGCATTAGCATATGTAGTAGAAGAAGCTGTAAATAAATATATATCCCAATATTTTGATATTTTCTATAAAAACTCCATACAATAAGGCCTTATTCTGAATTAAATTAAATATTCTTACTAATTTTTTTTTTTTTTTTATAAATAAATAAAACAAAACAAAAACTAAATTTATATATCTTACTTAAGAATTATTATCTTCAAAAGCTTTTATCTATACATTATAGTTTTCATTTATTCTACAACTATGTATTAATGTCTCATCTAAATCTAAAAACAAAATATTGTTTGTAGGATCTATTTATTTATTTTATTGGAATAAAATAAAATTTATTATTATATAATATTTACTTTTTGCAGGCGTTAATTCAACTTATTTTTATTAAATAAATTTATCAGATGGCCCTTTTAGACATTTTGTAGAATAAACTAAGCCTCTATAGGTTAACATTAAAAATTACAAAAAAATATCTAGTAAAATATTAAATATATTTATATATAATATAAATTTCTTATTTATAAAAATATTTATATATTTATTTACTTTAATCAATATTTGGATTAAATATTATATGTCTATATGGATGATTTGAAAAATTTTCTAAAACTTAAAATTATTTAACTAACTTAGGTACATCTGTTACAAATTTTAAGTTTTCTATTTCTTTTTTCAATATTTCATCATTTTATTATATTTATTGTCCTGATTTTGTATTATTATTCATTTTTTATGAAATAACTATAAAAAAATAATATAATATATGTCATTTTAAATATATTATTTATAAGAAATAATTTAATATTAATTATTATTATTTTCTTTTAAATAAAAATATATCTTACTTTATTTATCTTACTTCTATGCTTAATTTTATGAAGGAAAGTCAGAAATATATTCAATATTATCGCTATCAGTATAAAATTAGGACATTTTTTTATTAAAATGCATTAAATTTCCAGTATTTTATGGTTTAAAATGATAAAGAGAATCCATTATAATGATATTTTTTTTAATTAAGAAAATGTATTTATTCTATATTATATTATAGTTATTATTATAAATATAATTTATGGAATTTATAGTATATTTGAAATAATATATATATAAAAAAAAATATAAAATTATATATAATTTAATATTAAATTTTTAATTTATTTTGTAAATTTTATATGAAATATATCAAATATAAAAATTAAAAAAAAAATGGCAAATTTAAAAATAAAAAAATATTTTTTTTTTATAAATATTAAATATAAAAAAATAATATAAATAAAAAGATAAAATAATAATTTAATAAAAGATATAATTAAAATAAATTGTTGTTAATGTCATTTTTAATTTACATAATAAAAATAAATTATAATAATCTATTTAAAAATAATATAAAATTAATATAAAATTAAATATTAAAATAATTAATATATATTTGTTTATATTTATATTTATTTTTTCTATAATTATTTTTATATATCATTTATAAAATGTTACATTCTTTTTGAATAATAAATTTAATTTTATTTATTATTATTTTATTTATTTATATTTTGATAACAAATAATAATTTTTTTTTAAAACCTTAATATAAAACACTTATTTTTTTTATAATATCTAAATAAAAATAATTAAATTTTTTATAATTTTTTATTTTTAATAATTTTTATATTTTTTAATATTTATAATTATCTATGAAAATTCATTTTATTTAAATTTTTTTATATAATAATTAAATAATATAAAAATTAATCTCATATAAAATAATTAATTTCACGTAAATATTATTTTTCTAATATGAATAATGTTTACTTTTTAACATAATTAAAACAATATTTTTATTAATTATTAAAGTATTTTAAAAAAAAATTAATTTTATTAAAATATTTTTTTTAATTGATTAATAGGGAATTATTAAATATATATATATATATATATATATATATATATATT